CTACTTATTTCGGATTGCAAGACACATAAATGAAGAATGTTCCAGCAAATGGTGTCGGAATTTCTGAAGAACAAAAGGCTTAGTTGTTCGCCGAGCGTGTAATGACATCAAAAACGTGAACAAATCAGATTGGCACCTGTCTTTTCGTGGTCGTTCGCACAGTTTCCATAAACTACACAGTGCAACTCTTTCTATACTCGACGCCAATACTAAGAGGTTAAACACTATTATTTGTAATGCACTACTCGTAAGGTTGCTGATTTCCGAAGTTCCACAGTCACTAACGCAGCTAAAAGCGGAGATAAAATGCAACAATTTCAAGCCACAGGGCATAATCTCCCAATCTGGCTGTAAATTGTGCAAGTTGACAATCACTCAAGTGTGTCAAATTCTAGATTTACCAACACAATATCAATTTTCCTTTATTGTCACGACCAGTGGAAGTCATGAACAACGCACACGGTTCCAAGTTGGATAAGCATTCTTTAAAGTCCAGTTACTTTTTCCATTGATTTCTGTATTCAAGCTGCACGGGAGGTATTGCTGTCCCGGAACTAATAGCCTAGTTCCACGTTCGATAAACCATAGGTCATAGGTACAACCGCTGAACGAGATTGACCTAACGCACAAATTCATAAGTCAAAACATAAGACCCTTATGTGCACAAATGCACATCACCTGAGGAGAAGCATGTGACAGGTTAACAGGACTATCACGTTAACAGGTGACCATCCAAACCCGCCCCCAATGACTCAATTTTTTGGATAATATCATACAGTTAGAGGTAGTTTATTCTGTTGGCTATTGACAGCGTGAGTTTTTGGAATTTTCGATTGACATTTCGTTTCGCAAGCGAAAAGCCGAGAAGTATAATGCAACACTTTTCCTCTTACTGGTAGTCATCAGCGGTACACCTCACAGACGATCATTAGGATAGGGTACGTTTGCACATAAGATTCTGTACACTTAAAAGCCGCTACAGTCAGGTAAGATTTTGTGCTGTTTTGGAAAACCAAGTTTTAGTAATTCTGGTGGTTTGAACACTTAACCGTTTGGCCACAGAGATTTTGTGCTGTTCTGGAAAACCAAGTTTTAGTAATTCTAGTGGTTTGAACACTTAACCGTTTGGCCACAAACAGCTGATCAGCAGTGTAATGACTGAGATTCCAATCCGAGAAGTAACCACTTGAGGAGCCAATCAACACGTTCGACCACGTAATGCTGGCCCCTTGATTGACGGATTAGTGAAGCTATATCTGTCAATGTGCGAGTTAATCACAATGCTGCTCAGCCACTAGTAAGGGCGTTCAGAAGTCGCAGAAGAAGTCGCACGTTCAAAAAATTTTATAAGATGTACACAGCTGGCGATTCCAGATAAGGATGGAATGGCCGTAGAATGCACAACAAAATCCCAATTCAATATTCTGCTGATGCTCCAAAACATGATTTTTCCAAAACAATACAAAAGTTAACCTGATTGACCCATATAACAGTTTTCTTCACACGCAAATTGACCTACCCTCGTGGTCGTTCGTCCATATTTCGAAAGCTTATCTCCACGACCAAAAGTCTACCGATCTGTGTTAGACTCTGATCGACTTTTATTATTCCGATGTCAAAATGACGAAAAAGCGGTTGCATCCCTGGTTAGGGCATGCAAAAACGGGATCCTTACAGGGGGTACATTAGAAGAATGGGGGACCCTAGTTGTTTATTTTTCTGCTTGCACCGCAACAGACTGCAGCTCCTCCAGTGATGGCCTCTATGACGTACTAGGTGCCTTTTACAACGGACTAATAGACAGGACATCTTCGTTTGCTGGCAACATGAACACTTAGGTAGGTAGGTAGACTAAGCACTGCTGAGGCCCAACAGGCTGGTCGTCTTGGAGTGGATACCAGAGAACATCTAGTGCAGACATGTTCCGACCACAGAATGTTCCTTTAAAGACTGGATTTCGGAAACAGCCAAAATCACCGGACAACGTGGCGCCCACCGACGAACCAGCTCCTAATCCAAATAGACTACATCAGTTATCAGTAGCTAAGGTAGACCACTGCCTGCCGCTCCTACTAGAATATCCAGGTGGACTCCGGCAATGCACTTGTGGGCTGCTGCTTTTCATTCCGCTCTACAGGTCTACCCAAAACATGAAAAACTGGCTTAGCTACTGAGACGTTAGTGGACCCAGAAGTCAAACGAAACTATTAGGATCGCTTCCTCGAACGCCTGCCGGACGGTCTAATGTCGGATATTAACGGCCAATAGGAACAAATATCCAAAGCGCTACTCAAATCCTGAACTGAAGTTTGTGTTGCAGCCGACGTCATCCAAACATTGTATCTCTTTGTTGGAGACCCGACGACGAATTCCCTCTAGCGGCAACCACAACTGCACGCGACGCCAGGTGAAACTGAGTGTCCCTGCAGATTGAGAGATTTGGTGAACCCAAAAGGTTGAAGGAATCGATGAGGCAAAAACGTCCGCAGGCTGTTCCACTTAGTTCTTTCGACTGGTCCCCAGAAGCCCCTTTGATCGACACTAACTAGAACTAGAATAGGTTTCTGATATCCAGCAAAGCAGAACTTTTGGACGGCCCGGCACAATACTTCAAACAAAAATCCAGTTGGCCACCTGCTACCTCCAATCTGGACTGCAGGCGTTCAACAAAAACTTTGGCTGTGAATATGGAACCACCTTCAGCCTTAGGACTGGCCGAGTGTATATGTAAACACAAGCGTAATCGTGCTCCTGACCCTTACGATATTAAATCTCCTCTATTCAAGGATGGTGGCCCATTTGCGTCTATCTGTGAAAAAAGGCCATTCCACATAACTTGGATCAGTCGATAATAGCGCCCATTTTCAGCGAAACCATTCCACAGTCGATAATAGCGCCCATTTTCAGCGAATGTTACCACAGAAGGCTTCATTTTTACTCTCATTGTGACAAGGTTTCTGGCATCACTGATTCCTCGTCCCACAGTGGGACGCGAAGCCTTGATCCGTGGGCACCAAGCGAGATTTCGAACAGCTAGAGGCTGCGTCAATCACATCTTGACATCCCATCAAGTGTTAGAGCAACGCCACATTTACCGACCACCCACAATCAAGGATGCGTTCGATTCTATCGATCGGTCCCTGCTGTTAACCACAATCGTTCACAGGGCATGCTTTAGAGGTTGAACATAATGCGGTCCCTTGATTCACATGTAGGCGTGTGAGAGTGTATGGTGAGTTCTTCCAGTAAGGGGCATTCAGTCCAGCGGCTAAACACAACTCGCACACCGTAGATACCACGAACCATTGCATCAGGATCACCAGGCACTCGAACGATAAAGCGAGAGAATTCAGGATTCGTTTCGAGTGTTTTGAGGCATATGACCGAACTGGGGTGTTGTATTTTTGTTTCGGAAACAGAAAACATACATCGATCGAGTAAATAGGGCCTAGGCAAGAGCTACCTGCTGTCCAATTTGACACAGCGTACGGACGCAGTGTAGAACAGATCCCTTGAATTTACAGTTTGGATAGGGTATAACAATTAGGTAATTAACAGCTACGTGAACCAGTCCATACAAGAATAGCATAATCTTGATATGAACAACAGTATACTCAAGTACCATAATTCGGTTAAAATATACAAAGACCAGCGTTCTTTGAAAACGTTGTCACTTCTCGACACCCGAACGGGTGTTTTCGTATGTGGATTGCGGGTTCTGAGCCCTAGTTAGAAATATCCCGCTGCCAAACGAGATGCTTAATTATGCCCGAGTCTACTCCGAAGTGTTTTGAGGAACCAGGATTTCCACATAAAACCATAATGGTTTTATACGAAGTTCGGGTGCGATTAACTGGGTTCGGCTGGGTTAATTTTCGAAACAGGCCATCTTGACGAATGTCCATAGTACGGAAATTCTAAATAGTTCGTATGGAAGTCCATGGAACAAGAAAATGTTTTCGTTGTAATGGTCACGATGCGGCCAATATTCCACAGTATTCGCGGTGACCTCGATATGCGTAACACACCGACCAAACAGGCTACGCTCTTAGTCAACACTCTACTTTTGCGAACAACAAAAGTGGAGAACAGGCTATCAGTTCGCAATCCTTCAGGGACGACGTACTTGCTTGTATTCGTCCTACGACGAGATGTTTACCACAAAGGATAAATCGGTGTTGCTGTAACACGTGGACAGCAAAAATGCGAAGTCCTGACAATCGTACAGTCCACAATCAGTGTGGTCGACGACTGTCAACAGGCTGAACACACTGAAGCAGTTGCGGGTACAGATCATGCTTCGGTCGACAGGATGACGTTTGGTCAGGTTATTATCAATGCGGGCAAATCTACAGAAACCAAACTGATGAAAGAGATTGTGTAGGCTCAAAGGCGACCGATTCAATCAACGCGGATCAACTGGCCACCGACATAACCATTCTCCTGGGTTATCTTTATGCAACTCTACTGGTAATCTTAGAAGACTGACGTGTATTCCCACCCTGGGCAGACGAAAGTGGTCCATCAGTATCTTTAAACCGAATGGCCCACTAGACCAAAGATACCAGCTTTCCATAACCTGTAAACCACTCATTCAGTTACGGGAAGACATCCAGCTTACTTTTCGAAATGTTTGTTTGATCTCGTGCATTAGACTGGTGATTTCAGCTTCAGATAGAACAGCGGGCAAACATGCATCAGGTCGGACATCTTAACAAACGTAGAGGTAGTTCTCTGCATTTAGACCTCTATCAGAATATCAGTGCAACAAACGCTAGATCCCTATTTGGGTTGACTTCGAATGCACTGGTTATCCCAGTCCTACGATATTAGTGATTCTGTCAGTTCAAACTCAACACGCCCTTGGACGTCAACTGTGAAGAGCGAAGTAGGAATATATCGCTGTAGTAATCAAGACTTTGGAGAGCAGAGATCCAGAAAAGACAGAAACTCAAAGGCCCGTAAATGATCATCAAGCAACTCTCAAATAGAAACTGTTCACTGAAAACTGAATATCTCACTAACCCTTGTGGTTCCACAAAGAACAACAAGACGAACTTCCATCAGCAGAAAATCGGTTTCAATGATACAACAACCCAAAAACCTGGATTACGAATGTTTGAGACGTTTGATCGGCAACAAACTGGTGACCATGTGATAAGTTCGTGGCTAAAAGGCTAGGAGGCCATTGTATGCTGGATGTCCTAGAAACTCATACGAAACCGATACCCCGTGAGGTAAGAATCGGATAAGAGAAGTGAGAAAATAGTATTAAAATGCAACTCAGAGGGACTCCTACAGACAAATATATTTTACAGTCGGAAACGAAGTAGCCTAAACCGTTTTCAAGATCAAAACATCCGTGGCAATCGCTTATGAGATGGGCAGTTAAGAAAGAGAAACAATCAGGGGGAATGATCTTCAGACGATGGGCGAGAGTATTAGATTAGTATTAGGTTCTGAATGCGAAAAAGGAGAAGAACTAAACAATAGGCACAGAATAAACGAGATTAGAATAAGTGCACTCTCATGATCCAGAAATGATAAGTTTGGAAAAAACAGTGATAAGCGGGTGGGAGCAAATTGACAGTGCAGGCGGGAACACAGCTCCCCTACATAAATGTCAATGAAAAACGCGTTTAAGCAGGACAGACCACTACGGAAGCAAATAATGTACAAAAGGACATGGTCACGGTCGACACAAAAACAGTTAAAATGACCACAACAAACAGAACAGACCAAAGCCAGTATCTAGGTGGGATAGGAGCAGAAAGCTTAATTCGTTAGTCAGTAGGCTTTAACGTCAAAAGACGTAGCAATTGCAAAATTCAAAAAGGGAAAAGGCGAACAATGGCAAGTCTAACCATCAAGAGGTGAAGAAACCAATTACAGTGCGCAAAAGACAGTAAGAAAGAGGAAAAGTCTTCAACGGAAAAATGGTTATATCTGATAGGATAATGCCCTGCGTGAAAGGGGGCGTGTCTGAAAAAAGAGAACAAACACCACACAAATGGGAATAAGAGAACAAGACACTAATAGAACTGTCATGCCTTCGAAGAAGAAGCAGATGAACCTCTACAACGAATATACTGAAAAACAACGTATTGTGGGAAAAATGGAGTAAAAAATGAGTCCAGGGAGTAGGTTGAATTGGTCAGATTAGGGAAACCGGGAATGCAGTTTAAAATTGCAATTATTGGTTACGGTCGTGGACCCCGGTCAACCTCCAACCGTCCGTCCGTGGCTAAATGGAAATCGGTGCCGCCCAGAGCGAACCGATTTCATGAGGCGTGGTCGAATAAAGTGAACGAACAGAAGAAACAAAGCAATCAAGTGAGGTACAAAGTTGAATGCGGACCAGAAGATTAGAGAGGCTGACCAATCGAGCAGGTGGAACGGGGCTTGAGCATAGTTGATCACCATATTCGTAAGTATTGCGGTAAATATATCGTAAATAAACGAGGAGAGAACCGTTTGTCGACAAAATGGCCGCATTGCTCGTCGCCACATACGTGAAACGAAGGTGAACAGTGCGAAGGTTACGAACATCAAATAGTAACCAGGATAGAATCCGTGCCAAAATGCACTGATAATAAACACCAAAAAGGTGCGGCAGAAATAGGGAAGACGTTCGTAGAACACTTCACGAAGCCAACGAGTCGTTGAAATATTCCACGAGTCAATGACATTTTTCAACCCAACGCCACATTCGATTTGGAACAAGTCAAAATTACGCACACCAGCATACTGGGGACGACCAGTATTGGGACAAATGCCGGTGTAACCGAGCCCAGCGCTGATTCCGCCCAGTTCGGACAAACCCCAGGCGAAATAGTACTTCTGCCGAACCAGAAATAATGATACGGTTGTGTAGAGAATGCGCTCAAGTAACGCAGATTTCTGTACCAAAAGTAAATAGAAAATAATATGACGGGTCAGGAATGAATAAAGGTAATTGTGGGACAGCTAAACAGTATATTGGTGATCGTAGTAAGTAAAGATATGACGGTAACAAACATTCCTAGTTATTCCTATTTGTGATGTAAAATTGACAAAGATATGACGTAACAAACATTCCTAGTTATTCCTATTTGTGATGTAAAATTGACAGATTTTAGTAATGTGTCTGAAGATATTGACAATCTACTGTCTTCATCCCTCTGGTGTATTGGTCATACAAAACGGGGAGTAGTAGTGCCGGAAGATAGCTGTTGTCTTTCTCTGAAGACAATCCTCAGGAGAGATTTCTCCTCAGCTCGAACAACTGTGGGATTTCTGATGTTTGAATCAAAATACCCTTTAGAAGGGACTAAAAACAAGGCGTGTGTTTAACTGGAGATTATCCATTGTCAGCTTGGTAGACATTTTTGGGTAGCACAAACCAAACACTACTTTGTGTGTGTCTTCCTCAGGTTTGATGCCTGGTTAGCTGTGCTCACCTATGCGATTACCATTAGGTTTGGCGCTTCATCAGCTTCGACCTCATTCGGATCTATTTCGGCTTCTGTTCTTTGATCCTAGACCAAAGACCGATAACTTACTCAATAAACACACACAAATATCTGTTTTCGGGTCATTCAATGCCACATCAATGTGGCCACGATCGATTTTACGGTCCATTAAGCTGGGCACAGTAATTCGTCTGAACAACCCGCGAACAGTTGTAGCTGGAACACCTTGGAACGGGTTGATTTGTAGCTCGAGTCCAGTATCAACTGTAAAAGATTCATGGAGAGGCGAGAAAGGTAGATTGCAACCGAGAAGTTGCCATAAACTTCTATACTCCTTGTTTTCGGTTCCTGTTGTTTTTTTTTGCAGGATTGATCAGCTCTCTGGAAAGACCTACTTACGTCGGTCCTTTCAGGAGGAAGACACTCGGTGCCAACTCGACGAGCCGAAATCAGTCATCGACAGAGAGACGCTGTAGAGATCTCTAGACTCGTTCCGTCGGGATTAATAGAAAGTCGGATGATACTAACAGGCTATCAGATGCATGATCGCTCATTCTTTAGGTGTAAGACTACGAGGGGCGAGATGGTCCAAGTGGTTAGAGCGCGAATTTACTGACTGGAAGGTCCGTGGTTCGAGGCCGACCTCTGCCTCTCGATTTCCCCTGTCTAGGCTTGGGCAACCATGGCAGTATCTCAGCCGTCGTGCTTCCTTCGGGCGGTACGGCAGCTAGGCACCGAAATTATGCTAGAGCCGAATAATTTTTTCAATGATTTTATTTTCCCAAAACCAGCACAATTAATGCCCACACCGAGCCAGCACAAAATGTGCACTTCTCATCGGTCACAAAAGCTGCATCACATTAATCCCTTCGATAGAGGGGATAACTTTCAGAAACTCTGAAAGTTAGTCACTGACGAGAGTGTATGGTCGACAACAGCGAAGAAAACTATGACGGTTGGCGATCAACGTAAATAGTACAGCACTTTCGGCGACACAAGGCAGTAAGCAAAAACTTCAGCAACATGCCAGCTATAGTGATTAGTCAGGTCACAGATGCTGCTACGTTCAGATGATACTAACGCTCGTGAATAGCATGCTGAGGTCAAACAAGTCACCATTAAACCTACCGACTGAAACACTAATAAAAGCGCACGTGATGGGTTGACCGGATGTTATCCAATAACCCCTCTCTAACGGTCCGGTGTGATAGCATAGTTATCGTTAGAGCTAGGTCGCCGGTCCCATCCAGAGGAAATCATCCCTCCCATAAAACCAACTTCACCACGTGAAAGTAAGTAGCCTTAATACACTCAGTTGCGCTTGTTTCCCTTGGTGAGGTTGGGCCATTGTCGGTGAAAAATTCTAGTTACTCGAAGCAGCACACGAGAAACACCTTTCATTTATCATTTGTCCAAAGGAACACAGTAGCCCAACAGTTTTAACAAGCCTTCAAGCGATGACGTCTGCAAGGGGCTAGAGTGACAGCCAATTTACTGTGCTAGTTCACCGAACCACTTTAAACTTTAACCCATGGAACACCATCGCTATTAATCAGCCTTTATACAATTCGCCATCCGCGGGTAAGTCTAGGACGAAATGATGAACCGCACTTCAGTGTAAGTATCATAATCCCCCTTCAAGAAAATTATCAAACAGAGTAACTTATTGTAAGAACGGTATTTTCTCGGCTTAGTTCTCGGTCTGAACCTTCCAAGATAGGGTTTCTGTCAAAACAGCCACCAAAGTGCACAACGTGTATTAACACCCAAAACCAGGTCAAAACCTAATGTACAGTGCGTCGCATATAAATTGTATGCGGCGACAAAACTTTGGAAATCCTGGCGCCATCGCAACCGGTGTTCGGTGGTTACTGGACCACGACTGGCTGCTGGGTCAATACTTTTGACGAATCAGAGCTCGACTTTATGCTGGACCGGCAAATGGCCCGATCGTTGGGCCAATCGCGTGCGTGCTAGGCTTCTCGGCGGTAGCAGCGCTCAACTGTGGGCGATAAAGCGGTATCGGTGCAGAACTCCACCTAACACTTAGGTTCCAAGTTCTACAAGCGAACCCTCTTAGCGTACTACGTCGCGCACGACAGAAACACTTGGGTTCCAAGTTCTACAAGCGAACCTTCTTAGCGTACTACGTCGCGCACGACAGAACACTCCACCGTAAACCAACTGTGAATGGCTGTGGTCACCCATCGTCCAGGGATGAACAGTTTGCCTAAACGAAGTGTCAACCGTTGAACAAGTGAACAGACGAGCATCACAAAAATCATGGGAGCCTGCGTCAACAAGTACCCGTATCTGATTTTGTTTTCTGCCGTATCGCACCAACCCAGTACTGATCGATGGTGAGTTCCTGTCAAAGATGGACTGCAAACATTGTCAAAACACCTGTCCCTAGAAAGAATCCGGCAGAATTGTGTTATGCTCGTTTTCGTGTTACTCGAGAACGCATAGAAGCTTCAGTCTTCTTTGTTTTCTTGAGTGGCCGTGTTGGCTAATTTATTGAAACTGAGAACTAACCAAGGGCCAGGTATCAAAAAATGCCTTTTTAGTACAAAAGGTGCAGTGTGGTGACGGGGACAGCTGCGAAATCTTTGAAGTATCAAGTCGTATGGTTTCGTAGAAACCCGCCAAAATGGTTTGCACATGACGGTTATGGATCTGAACAAATCAACCCAAAGGATGAAGTTAGTCAACTCGAATACAATTTCCGTACTGAAGCAGCCACCGATACCAAATAACTTTTAGCGATTTGCTAGACCTATTCCTATTTCATTAGATGTCTTCCGACGCCACTAATGAGCCCCTTGTGTGAGTTCTACAAAGAAACAGCTGTTGAAATTATCTATGGCTCAAGAACTGTTGCATGTATAGATGTGGAGTGAAAGCATCATCATCATTGTCAGCTGTAATAACCGCGTACTCGTCGTACAGTGGTTGTAGCTGCCACAGTTTCGTTCACCGATGATTCAGGGGGAGGGGGAGGTAGCTGCGCATTGTAGGCGGGAGCTGATAAATTGGTGTATCAATCCAGCACTGTCAGTCGTTGTCAAGTGGGGGGAAGAGGATTCCGCATATCTTACCAAAAACAACTCACAGATTGGTGAGAATTCATATCGGAACTGACTCCAACTACCGACTTTCCGTATGCGGCATCTCAAATCCACACGGAGTTGAATATGGGGATATCAATTATAAGGCAGGTAGTGGATGGCAGTAAAAGCAAACCACCACGGGTTTCGTCATGCTTCAGACTCATAAGGTAGATGAAAACAAAAAGTCACCTAACACCGTTGAATACTTTACGCACTCAGTCATGTTCTAGCAGAAGAAAGTCCCCTCGAAAGAGAATACCTGCATGAGACAGCGATTTTAGTTGATCCTGTGGGTGTTCTTTATGAGTAAAAATTGTTGTACTTTCCGTAACAGAGTGAGGTAAATATCATGTGAAAGTGTTCACACCATTAGGATTATCTGTTGGCCACTTTGATGATACAGTGTCAAAACAAGGAAATCGCAGATGATGCGTAATCGGCGTTCTAATTGTGGTGCATAAAACAACAAAAATTCATCACCAGTGACTTACCGCAAACGCGTCGCTCAGCACGTAGTCAAAAGGGAAGTACGGTGACAAGTAGGCCGATAGCAGGCCAACGATAGTAGTTCGTACAAATACCAGACACACATAGCGCCAGTCGATACGAGGAAGTCTGTGCTTCTGGTAGCCCTCCAGATAGGTTTGATATTCCGAGAAAAAGACAAACGGACCAACACACGCTCCGTGGAAGTACGAGTTGTAGGCAAAGAACTCAACTGGACCGGGAACAGTGTACACAGCGTGCTCGATTTGAGTTGAGGACATACGAGTCACCAAATCCGCTTGTGCAGAGGCATGGTGTTGCGGGGATGATTGCGTCGTTCTAGCAAGTAGGCGATTCAGGTAAGTTTGAACTGATACTCCATTGATCGAGGCAGGACGTTCGGACAAACGACGGGACGGAACATCTGTGAACGACTTCAATCCACGTACTAACATTGACTTGAACGATTGCATTGAAGTCTGTGCATAATCAGCGGGGGTCATTTCACCCGGAGAAACCGGATTCGACAGTGGTTCCACTTTTCCAGGTGCCGTCGTGGTTGATAATGCTGCTTGCTTAGTCGCCACACGACGTTCCCGTTCACGAAGAACAAAGCCATCTGCTAAATTGAACGCCAAGCTGGACAAACGCTGCGTCTGAACCATTACGGGCCCGGAGATATCAAGTGTATAGCCACCATAGTCGTACTGCCACCGGCAAAGATGAACCAAGGTCATGTAGAACATAACCCAAAGGGTAACTACAACTGCCATCAACCGGGATTGCGGTAGAAAGAACATTAGGATGTAGGCAACGGTACTTTGAAGTAAAAGAACCCGTAGTTGGTTTCCAAAGCAGAAGTACAGGAGAAATAGTCCCAGGATACTTTCTATCACCGCCCGAGCACGTGGAGTGACGTTTTCCGGAGCATAGCGTCGCCGCATCAAGTAAAGGCCAAACACGATACTTAGAAGACCAGAGACTACAAAGTTGATCTGATCCAGTGGAACATGCATAAATTCAGCGAGTGGATTTAAAAATCGTGAACCGCGGTAAAAACCTCCCCGAATGCGTTCATTATCGCCTATGGGCATGCCCACACCCATAAACACACGACTAAAGTAAGCCCACCACGTGATCATGTTAGAATGATCCGAACCGGAGAGGCCGCGATAGACAACGGTGTTCCAAAATGGATGGGCTGAAAAAGAAACAGACAATGATGAGAACATGGTATCAACCATCCGCACTCACATGCAAACGAGACGATTGAGATTAGTGAACGCTATCATCAGCACATGCATAGTTTGGATGAGCGAAACTGGAAACCGCAAAGCACGGACGTAGTCACCAGATTAGAGTAAACAAAGGCAAGCATGGCACTTCCATGTCTGACAAACCAAAAGCCTAGCTCTCTGTCCCGCCCCAATATGACCACTTATTTAGTACAACCGAATTCCTTTGACTTTTAGTTCATAATGCATACCATGGTACTATAGTTATGAAGTAAAAATTCGAATTCGGGAAACCTGGTAGGCCACGAAGCAATCAAAATACGGACGATTTTGTACCTAAGAATTGCGAATCGCTGCAATAGTCTGATATGGAATACTCTGTATAGACAGAATGCGAGCCGACATCCCACCATGGTTGATAAGATTGTAGGTGAAGTGTTTCTTTGTGTGCCTAGTTAGCAAACATTGGAAAGTGCTGACATTGGGAAGTGAGGAAGCCAAAAACGGAGCTGATGATGAAAGCAAAAACAAGGGCCTACATGCCCCGGGGGTTGTTACGAGAAAACAAATCCGAACACATCGAAAGGTACGAAGGGTGAATCACCGCTTAAAACTCCGACGGCTCCTATCCGGGCTTCAGCAATCTGGAAGTAATTCAGCCTTGTTCACAGCCGAACTGTATGACAGTTGCGTGCCAAAATGATATCGGAGCCGAAGAACCTACTTTGTTCACACGATGCTGATCCCAACAAAATGAAAAAGTAGACCATCCCATAAACCAGGAAACCAAGAAACCTTAAGGATCCTCACATTTCCAGTGACAAATGGTAAAATAAAGGTGACCCAGTTCCCCCGACATCCTACTCGTATAAAAACAGAACAATCTCATAATCCCGATAAGACACAAGACTGAGTGACTCCATAAGGTAGAAATATGCAGTGAGGTGAGATGAGTGGAACCAGGAAGCGAGCACTGTCAACCTAATGAGAATAGTATAGTACAGCAACCCTACCACTACGAATCGTACATCTACCAACTGGAAGACTAAATTATTGGAAAGGTTAGGATTGCACTGAAAATAATGGAAGGACCAATGGTCAAACGGGAAGATGGTTACGTGGTGTATGATGCCAAACAATTAGAAGCATGGATATCTGGTGATACTGGCTCGCAGCAAGTAGGAACAAGCAGTCCAAACTAAAAAGTGTAAATCGGTGCAGATTCTAGTGTATGACCCCACCAGTGCGCTGTACACAATAACCTGGAGCAGGAGTTTAACAGAAAAGGTGATACGCATTGGGGCGGAGCACAACGTCACTGCAGTTTCTTCATGCTGTTTTAGTCCACCCACTCACCTTGCAAGCATGGTCACGGTCGGCGGAAGCTGAAATGGACGCTGCTTGCTGCGAGAGGATAGGTTAGAGTAAGCTGACAGTCAAAACTCGACTTCATCACGTCTTAGTTTCCTTGATCACTTGTTGGTCGACAATGACCAGTTCCTTTGTGAGCTTTCATCTGACAAATCATCTGGCACTCTTCTAGAGTACCTCCCATCAGAGAAGCAGTACACGTTTTACAGGGACATCATGTACCGGTCACCATAGTTTCGATCCTAAACCAATTCTGCCAGGTAAATCCCTTGCAAGAAGCCCTTTGGACTAATGTCAGCATGCACAAAAAGTAGGCCAAACTGGCTAGCATGGAATTACTAAAACTCTTGTTTATAACAACACTAATGAGCCAGTTGGCCAGTAGACGGAGGTACAATTGTTACAGGTCAATTTAGTGTCGCAGGTGCCGTTATAGATAGAGCCCAACAGTAGTTGGGTTCAGTGTACCGAATTTATGTATCAATTGTCCAACCAGTACTGCGTTTTCGACTTCCCGAAGTAATATAAATTGCTCGCAAATCTGTCTTCAGAGAAGGCATTATTGATGTGTTTAATCAATGCTAATACCGCACAGTAAAAACTTCAAAAGTGACTAAGTGGGTCGCACCACATAATAAGTACCTGATTTGTTAAGCCTGTTTGTCACGTAGTACTGGAACAAATGAATACTCAGTTTTGATGAAGTACTAAAAATGATAGAGATAATAAAGTGAAATGTGAGGTTATCGAGTGCAAAAACTAGACGTTTAAACAAAAACAGACCAACTGATTGCATTGAGGCAGCCACAAAAAACAAAATGAAACTGATCGTTCGGGAAGTAGTAGACCAACGCTACGAACCGTGTTACTAAATTTGTGGTTTCAGAAAGGAGAATGAGATCGTTACCACGTGTTTCTATATTTCGACCATCCTTATAATCGGATGGCTCACTTAATTGCAGTGATCCGGGTTTCCGAATACCGGTACAATAGCAAAGTTGACTGGCTTTGGTCAAAAGCAAGCATGGCGGAACAGACACCAACAGTGGAAGTAGTCACACACTCGACTAGGGAATGACCCACGCCTGGTGGTTGCATAGAACCTCTACTTCATTATCATTTATTTTTGAAGAGCATGGTCACAAACATAAAAAGTGAATGCAAGCGATGAATGCGAAAGAGTAACAGGAGAATATGGGAGAAAAGAGAGAAACGTCTCATTCGAAATCATGCCAAGGACAGTGCCAGTCTGATGAGGTGAATCCCAAAGTATGTAAAGATTTTGGTATGGGAACAGGCGTCTAAAGACTAACAACCAAAGAAAGGACAAACAATGGTGAATGCTCTTCAAGGCGCAGTATGCGCTAGCACAGTCAAGACTCGCACATCAGGCACAAAGTGACCGTCATACTGGGTCTGGGGTGAGATTAAATGGCAAAAATGTACCTTCAGCGCCATGTGCCACGCATAAAAGTGTCATAAGTACGCAGGGAGCCCACAATGGCAAGCAAACACAAGTCACTGACTGCGACCTTAGGAAGTCCCAGTCCAATAACAGCCTTAGCGGATTGAGGAAAGCAGATCCCTCGATAAGAGATGATCATCGGTTGGTGAACCAAAAAGTCGATATCACAACCGATGGCATGTAGGGCTGAGATTATGGCGAGGGAATGTTCATCAGCACCATACTTCTGCTTCTTCTCATTCCACACTATCACTCCACGCCCATCCGAGACTATGCTGACGTCTATTACAGTTGCACGGCGATCTCGAACAGCGATTAGGTCAGGTTTGATGAACGACGTAGAAGTAGGGGCTCTCAACTCCTCGAAAACAGTGTACCCCGATAGCGATTCTACTACCAATTCGCGAAATCAATTACCACAGGTCGAGAGTAGAATATATATCCGTATCATCGTTTTTCCAAAAAATAGAGCCATATTCGCAAAATTCCGGGGAATGGTAATAATATTAGTGAGAATAATAATAATCGTAGCAATCGTTCAGATGTAACACCTTTCCGGTGCCTAGCTTCCATGTCTCCACGAAGGAGGCACGAGGACTGAGGTAAAGCCAGGTTGCTCTAACCTAGACAGAAGCAGCCAAGATACCAGGGTGGGTTTGAAGCATCGACCTACCGGTCAGTAAGTTCACGCGTTAACTATTGGGCTATCCCGAGCTCCGGCGGTCAGTGGGAATCAACGAACGTACATACTTGGTCTGGATACCACATAGTCGGTATACAGGTTCGAGTATTCCGAAAGCAGAACTCTAATGCCGACCATCTTTGAAAAATACCTGCAGCCACTAGTCCATCGGAATGCATTGTCAACCAGATGAGTGGACTAATATATATCAATAAACCGGGCCGTTTCAATAAATCAATGACGTTCATGTGACTGCCTCGCTAATGCGACCTTGTCCATCTTGTCCGCGACGCCTTGAAAACAAAATTCCAGGAAAAAGGTTGATGCATCAAAGTGGACAGTCTCACATCTTGAGTATCAAAACGTTACACAGTGAGAGGTTTTATTGGATAGTAAACATGATGTGCCAAGTGTGAGACCGCCCGACTATGTACATTTGAACTAAACCCCACCCATTCTAAAATCAGTCCAGGACCTCCAAACAAAGCAGTCAACGAAAAATTGAACGTGCGGAAATCGGAGTCAGCCAGCTACGAGGGTTGACATAATGTAGCCCTCTTTACAATATTGCCAAAGATATCAGAATTTGAGAGGTGTCTCGAAAGGGTTCTTATACACATGGCACTGATATTTACAATTTTTATACAAAGGACAACAGAGTCCTAACACAGATTTGATGCATAGTGCGTTGAAAACAGCCTGAGGGATTCTGTGGTGCACTGAATAAAAATGACATCCTAGAACAAAGTCCAACGATGACAGAAATGCAGAAGTCAATATAATCAACTTTGAACAACTGCCGCACAATCTTTCGCGACTTTTCCGTTCTGTGCACTGAGAACAGGATCAACAACACACGGTGGCTCCGCGTAGTAAGCCTGTTTGACCGCATTGAGTTGGGCAACCCAGGCAGCCGCCTTTCCAGAAGGGTCCTCCAAATAGAATGTCCGGTTGGGAATGCGGATAAAAAATAACTTGTCGCTTTTTAATTCCAAGGTAAGAAAACTAGACCAAGGGACTTCGCCCTTCAGCGACATTGCATCCATATCAACATAGAATAAGTGGGGTCCCTCAGTCAGCAAAAACATCCGTTTGCGAGCAAACAGACCTCGTCGCTTGAACAATACTCCTTGTTTGAGAATGAGTCGATTTCGTACAAATCGATGGTAAGGATTTTGCCGCTCCTGAGCAGACAGCAATCGACTGCGCTCAGTTTCTGGAATTGGTGTAACAGCAGAGGCGAATTCACAAGATAACAGGTACATCTGTCCTTCATCAAAGCCTGCCGGTAAGCTGTCCCAATCTTTTGGGGCAATTGGTTCTAAATTTGGAAGAAGTATGGGAGCTGGTTGATTCGGCAGAGAACCCCAATCGATTCCGCTAAAGAATAGATGTTCCTGTACAGCCACAGGACCGCCGTTAGTTGGACTGCCCAGTCTGTCCAATGGATTGATAACAAGTAATTTTTGCACTAAGTCCCGGGCGACTGTGTCAAAACCATCAAGGAACTTATAGGATAGACCGAGTATCTGCCCAAAGATATCATATGCATGATGATGTTTTTCCGTTCGAAATGGAGGGCGACCGGAAATGAATTGATACAACACACAACCGAATGCCCAGTAGTCCATCAGGTAGGCCGTATCTTCGAAAGAGAAGCAATGGGAAGAGGATGGTGAGGATTCATCAGCAAACGAACGAGAGGACAGCATTTCTGGGCTCACATATTCCGGAGTGCCAGTAAAGCCGGGAGCTTTAACCTTCGGATCATTGAGGATAACCGCCGATCCGAAGTCAGCCAATTTGATATGCATCGTCTCAGTGAGCAATACATTCTCAGGCTTTATATCTCGATGCACAATGGACTGTGTATGCAGATAATTCAGTGCGACCAGTATCTCAGCAGCATAAAACCGAGAACAAGGAAGATCGAAAGAAGTGAGCCGATTTAGATGAGTCAGCAGTTCTCCACCTCGAGCGTATTCCAGTACGAAGAACAGCCTTGATGCATCTTGGAAAGTATAATGTAATCGGATGATGAAAACATGATTTACGCGAGTCAGTACCGCCTTTTCCATGTGAACAGATTCAACAGCTTTGTTTCGCACAACGTGCTGTTTTTCGACAACTTTCATAGCGAATTCCGCATTGCTGGCTATCTCTCGAACAACGTACACGTTCGAGAAGGAACCCTGGCCAATCTCCTTGCCAAAACGAAAGTCTGAAGGACGGGGAACAGCTCTGCGGTGGCTAGGTCCTTGGTCCTCCCCGGACATAAAAAAGCTATAAAAACAAGACGATAGCATGCATGTAAAATAAACATAACGGTACTGGGAATAGTCTTTAATACAACGTGAAGTCAGCTCAGCCAAGGAATCGGCACTCCATAACGAACACGGACCAGAAAATAGCCTAACCGGAGCCTCGACTGCCATCGTCTGCCAACCGGGCACAACACTACCTTCATGTTACAACAATACGGTCCGCTAAAGGATACTCGTCCACCGGTAATCGTTCAAGCAGCTAAAAACTAAGCTAGTATTGGGTGAATCTAGTGAACCTAGGAATGAAGACTGACGGATACGGATAGATGCAGCCAAACACATGCCAAACAGGTAAATACTTTCAGCCCAAACCATATCAGATGAAACTGCCGCCTTGAAAAATTGGAGCTTCCAGTCTTACAGTACGTTTTGAAGTTAGGTGGTTAGCCCAGAGTCGGTTTGTTCGTCTAGATAAATTTTTACGGGCTCGGTCTAAAAGGCTTCGCTCTCTTACCATAAGCAATAGAGCAAGTTCTTAATGGATTGAGGAATACGCTTCTAATAAACGAATTGTGCGGAATCATTGCATCACCCAAGCCAAGCCAAAAGAGTTTTTGTTGGTTGGTAACGGGAAAGGTGTGTCAATTTAGTGGTCGCCAATCAGTGACTGTATAAGGTTCTTTCTAATAAAACAACGCCATTTAACAAAGAACAACGTTTTCGAAAACAAAGAGTTAAACTAACAGCTATGGCGATATCTAGTGCGTCAGTTTTAAGCATCATCGTCATCATCTACAGCATTACATTGGTGTACAACACTGGTGCTTCGCTGCAAACAACCATGAATTATTTGAAAGCCAAAGTAGGATTTTTCGATATGTTGCATCTAATACGCTCGTTCTTCGACTGCTATCAGCTTGAACTGACGCGCAGTGGAAGTAGTTTTACCACCCCCATCCCGAAAAAAAATATTAACTGGTCCCAATGACGGATTGGATAAATTCATGGACTATCATGTCGAGGACGGGTTTAAACCCCACCTGGGCGCCCCCCCCCCCAAT